ATTAATGCTAATACAAAAACTGATGTAATATCGCACTGCAATATCTCTCGATACTTCATTTTTTGTCTTCTAGGATTTTTGAAAGGACACATTTAGTGTTTCAATTATACTGAAGATATCATAAATAATCTAAACATAGGTTTGTAAAATTTTGTCATTGCTTCCAGTATTTTGTTATTTATGTAGAAAAATAAATGTTTTTTTCTACCATCATCAGACAGGACATTTTGAACTTTCTCGCCATTACTTTGCTTCTACTTCGTAAGAAGATAGTTTTGTAATCGTGCGCTGGAAAACGGTGAATTTTCAGCAGAAATACTTTCATTGCCAGGCCTTGGTAACAAAAAACTGGCGAAATCCTTTTGCCAAACATGGAAAAATAACTAACACGTGGGCTAGCTAGAATCGATGTTTTATGGGTCTTCGATACCGAAAAATCGGTTGACAGCAAAGCGTGTCATTCTCTCTGTGGTCAACGCTATCACCTAAACTGTTTTGCAGATTTTCTTCAATATTCAGATATTCTCAGATCGATCTCAATGATCTTGAGGCCTTGGGAGTTTCAAACGGATATTTTGATTTTCAAGAGTACTTTACATAAACCCTCAAAAACATTTTGAAAGTTTTCTCAAAAAAGGCACAAATTTATTTAATCAAATTTTTTTGTCGAAGAGCGTGACACTTAAGAGAATGGTGCTGGTCTCATGTTAGTTGAAATTCCCTTTTTTAGAGGGGGGGCGTTTTCCTTCAACTCTAATATTGAAGATAGAGATTATTTTGCCTAATGAAATCTATTATTTAAAGACATATTAAAAAACCTTAAATAAGCTCAAGTTCAATTAATCGAAAAGATGAGTAGTTTGGCGCGAAAAATAGGAAATAAAAAAATTGTTTTTACAATAATGGCTCCTAGCTTTTTCTTTAAATTCTTTCCAGGAATAGAAGAAAATATTCTTAAAAGGATGCTTAGAATGTATGTCCTTATGGAGCGGTCATTTACATGAGGAATACATGCGCAGCAGCTCTTTGGCTTTTGCGACGAAAAGAGGTTAGCACTTGAACATCAAACTTAAACAAACTTATATTAATTTTATCTATGGAAGTAGACGGCGCTTTGACCGGCAACCTAAAGGTGGCTCCACACATTCAGCATTTACCGCGAAGCGAGTTAGAGCTCGCCCAATCCCAAGCAGCTCATGTGCTCGGCAAATGTTCGCTTCCTTTGATGTGTTCAAAAGACCGGCACGCGGTGGGTAGCCCCGAACGTTCGTCGCTCGGCAAATAGCAAGCGCTCCATCCACACTTCTGGGGATTCGACGAGCGGTCGCTCATCGCCGAATACCGAATATGTGGAGCCGCCTTAAGGTTCACGTAGCAGGGAATAGTTTTAAATACCACTTTAACTTTTTGGTTTCGCTGGGTCTTTTATTGTGTTTTTTATTCATTCTCACATTCATACTTTGAATTGAATTGAATTGAATTAATACCTTATTTTACGTGGTGAGACTCGGGCCATCAGGCCCGCTCTTCCATCTGACCACGCAAATTTAGCTACGCTCCTTTCACCAACTTGCAGAGGAAGGAGGTATTTCTTGGGCGAGAAAGAGGCTATTTCGAATTTAGGTCAGAGGCGTCGTTTAGGCTTGAGGATCTTTTACTTGCAAGTAAATCTACTAACATGGGACAGCCGACTTTACTTCCCCTTCGAAGGAAGGCGTACGAAGGATTTTTTCGCCCTTAAAAATCCACGGCTTCGATCGGGTATACCCGCCAACTTGGGTAAACCAGTCCGATGCGCTAACCGTTACACCATCGCCGGCGTGCTTGAGAGAGAGATACCTCTAATCCCTCGAGGGACAAGGAACCTCTTGGGCTCCGGGTGGCAGCAGTTGCGGCCGATGGAGGACGTCGCGCACTGCCCGACCAGCAGCAGCAGCAGCAGCAGCGTGGCCAGCAGGAGCGGGCACCCCGCCGTGACGGGCCTGGCCATCGTGGAAGTTGGTGGGCTTCGCCGGCGTGCCACTGCCTCGCCCCGCTGCCCGCCCCGCCCTAGCTCGCCCCACGCGGCGACTCGGGGTCTCGCGTGCGTGTCAGAGGAAGATGTGCGCTCCACGGCTCAGGTGCGCTCCCGGGCAACGAACCGGGCATTGTTGCGTACTCTTGGGCTTGTTTGACGTAACACACGCGTCTTGATTCTTAGGAAATTTTCCTTTCGTAGTACCCCTGACGGGGCAGGATTTTATTTTTGTTTATTTGGTATACAGTATGTGGATGCCTTACGGTTTAAGCAGCTAAGTGGTGATGGGGATTCTTAAGAACAAATTAAATTAAATTTAATGCATTTGTATTGTTAATAAGTAAGCACTTTGACATACATAACGAAACTGGGTTCTTTCTGGGTAACTTTTAACAATTTTGCTTCATTCACGCATCATTCATACTTGTTTCATTATATGTGTAACCATTCATTTATCCTATTCATTCACACTGCACTACACATCCCTTGATCCTTTCTAGGCCTTGGTCTATACTAGAAGTCGGATTTTGATGACCTAAATCATCATCAAATTATCAATGAAAAGCTCTTAAAGGTTTTTCTTAAATGACCTAAAAGAAAAGAAAAATGACATAAAAAATGTATCAAAATCAGATTAGATGAACAACACAAGCTGTTGGATATGTTATTGACGTAATCGAGGTTTCTTCCTTTCGTTTATGTGAATTGCAAACTTTTATTTTGCACTGTTTTTTGGCAGGAAATCTCAGTATTTACATAATAATCACGAAATCGGTCAAACCGACAGAGGAGTTGTTACGCGTAAACAACCTGAGATTGCGTACTCACAACAGCAGATATTTCAATTTCTGAGCGGAGAAATCGAATAAGCTACTCAGGAATTCTGTACAGAACATTTATTACATTTCTTAAATATTATTTTAAGCAAGTACCATTAAAATTACATTAAAATTTATGTAATCAATATTCATTCAATGTAATCAAAAATATATGTTTTACAATCGCAGCAAAAGATAAACAACAACGATTAATTGAAATTGGTGAAAAATGCAGAATCAGATTGTATAAAATGGGTGTTTTCCATTAGTATAGAATTAATGTTTGTACTAAAATCCATTGATCTAAAGTGAAAATAAAAAATAACTTTTTATTAAAATCTGCCTCTAGTCATTACACAAAGGAAATATGAAATATATAGGGTTATATGGCTGTCTAGAGATATACTCGAGGGAAAGAAGAAGTGTCTAAAAGTGTGCTATGCCATGTTGTAACGACTTTTGCATATTATCCAAAAAATACTATTATACTACTTCAGAATAAAATTAATAACAATATTTCCTGAATGTTTTCTTCATAGAACACACACATATGGACATTCGAAAAAATAACAATTACTCATTCATAATCATTTACCAACTACTAGAAAAATTAATGAAAATACGTATAAATCCAA